CGACCCTTTATGAGCGGAATACTTGGTGAATCCATGTTCATGAATTTCATGAACGTCCTTCGAACGAAAACTATGAGGATGAGAGGAGAGAAAAAGAAAGAAAAAGAAAGAAGAAGAAGAAGAAGAAGTAAAAGCTAGTTTTATCCATGGGCTCTATAAAATAAAAGTTGTAAAGTAACAAATATGATAAGTAGTTCAATATTACGTATCGAGAATAATAAAATATAACATAATATAATCGATATATGTATGTTAGTATGTATATACGTATCAAAATAAAAATTTAAAAGATAGGCCTTTAAAAAAAAGAAATAATCAATATTAATTAATGATAAATCTAATTGAATTCAACAACAACAGTTTTTGACCAGAATAATAATTATATCAAAATGTAACAATACGCGATCTATTGACTGCATAAATAATGATCACGTTTTAATAGAAATAGAGTAAGTATGTAGCACGTGGTAGTGGATATTGAGACGATTTAGTTTAACGAACTGTTACGGATAAGTATTCACGTTACAAATTATATCACGTTGTGCTCGTTCATCACGTTCAAAGACAGGAAACTAATCTCTTAATACATAGAAGCTTCTGTGTCGTTTACTTGGTGAACGTATTCCAAAAAGGAGAACCCTGAACACTGGGATTTAGTTTGGCAAGCATATACGAGAGAGTATGTGTGTTTGAGAGAGAGAGAGAGAGAGAGAGAGTAAATACGGAAATCGTAGATACGTAAGAGGAACAGCACGCCATTGGGTAAATGTGTATGAGTCGCTTACGTTTCTATTTACTATGCAAATATTCAGTGCTTTCGAGCCTGGCGCTAAGATTCATCGGTCGTGTTTGTTCCAAAAACGGCGTCACGGTCCTTATGATTAAATAATGTGATCAAAAAAAAAAAAAGAAAAAGAATCTCACGACTACGTGAACATGTATACAAGGAGGATACATGTATGCGTGTATAGAAAAGTAACAACGATATTCTAAATTCTTGTCACGTAGAAATTAAATTATAACATTCTTGATTTTATTTCAAATGATATTTTCTAGGGAAACAATTATAATATAGGAATGAAAGAAAATAAAAGAAATATACGCGAAATTTTCTATAATGAAAGATTAGTACGAATGAAGAAGTTAATTAAGAAAAGAAAAAAAAAAAAAGGGGTATATATATGAAATTGTCACTCTCCCCATTTCTCATTTTTAATTCTTTCACTTTAGTTTGAAGTGTAAGAAAGAAAGTCTTGAAAATTTGTTAATGCTAGGAAAGAATTTCTCACAGAAAGAAAGAAACAGAGAGAGAGAGAGAGAGAAAAAGGGAAAGAGAGACTGGTGTTAGGTTCTTCCTTTCTTTCACGAGAATAAAGAGGAGGTAACTGACGAAACGTTGCCCTAACGACGTCGGTGGTCGTGCCGACGACTTAATTGAGTGTGCCTCGACGATAGGGACCAAATTAACGAGTCCGACCTCCGCCTTTGCTACTTGCAACAGCCTTCACAAGATGAGAACAACCAGCAGTATGCTGCGATGACTCCATATTTTTATCTTTTTTTTTTTTTTATTTTCTTTAGTAACGAAAAAACAAACTTCGATAATCGATTTAGAAGACACACACACACACACACAAATATATAGTACGAAAATAAATCAAAATTTACGATTATTATCATCATCATCATCATCATCGATGAACAACGATTATAATTATTTTAGAATTAATTATTGTATATCTCTTTGTGTGTATGTATAATAATAAATTCACAATTCAAGACAAATAACAATATTAAATTTTGCATAAGATAAATGTTATATAAATGTAATCTTCTCAGTTGAGATACACGTGAGAAATTATTATGTGAAATATTATTGAAATATTACCATGAAACAAAACATTCGATATTATATTTTTTTTTTTGTAAAATATTTATAAATGAATAAGTATGTGTGGTCGATGGAAAAAAAAGGAACTTGCAATAATGTTTAATCGGACATTGCCCCTCCACACATTGTGTATGTACATCATGTGTGTTTATATTGTGTATATATATATGTGTGTGTATAGGTATCTATATACATGGAAGCTTACGCTTGTTGCGCCTGCCTTCCTGCTTCACGTTGGCTTTAATTTCCGGTACACTTGTCGGATTAAAAATATAGACCTCTTCCGATCCCTCGCGAACGTCATCAATTAATATTTACCAATGATGAATACGCACGCGCGTGTATGTGTGTGTGTGTGCATTAAAGTGATTCAGATCATCGATGTGAATCTTACTCGTTAATGTCATTCTTTTACGATTGTTACCACCACAACTGTTTTTATAATCTTCCTGGTTTCTATTTTTCGTTCACGAATAAAACACACATTAAAAGTATTCTTAGATAAATTTATTTCTAAACTTGCATAGCAAAAGAACGATGAATAAAATTGCATTTTGCATTTTATTCTATAATATTATAAGATCGAATTACGTGTGTCTGGTTATATTAATAAATATCAAAGTAAAATAAAATTGCATAATATGTAAATATAACGAGTAATCCGTACTCTAATACTTTTTCACTTTTTGTTTTCTTTTTATAAAACTAAAAAAAGAAGAGATATATATATTATAGTTGTAGATTTTATATATTGGCGTTACGTATAAAAATTTCGGGAAAAAAATATCGCGTCTTCTGGTTACCTCGAAAGATTTATTAAACTATTAAAAATAAAAATAAAAATAAGATAAACTGGAGAAATAATGTAGAAAATATATTCACAAATATTCGAGTTATTTGACTACATAAACCCGATTGTATAGTACTCGAATATCGCGAAATGTTGAAAGACACGGGAAGAACTCGATGTATGAAACGTTTTTTTTCGAGACAGAACAAGAACAAAAAGAAGAAGAAGTAGAAAAATGAAAAAAAGAAAGAAAGAAAGAAAGAGTTGAGCAAAGATACGACGAAACGATTTAACTCTTTTCTCGCTTGCCACATTCTCAAATGAAATCCAGCCAGAAATATATGAACGAGAATACGGGGTGTGTTTAGCTTTGAAAACGAAGCAAAATTTCGGAAGAACATTTTTCCTCGAAAAAGAATATCGGATGAATAAAGTTAGATCGAATAACAAAAATACAAGGAAGGAAATAAAAAGAAGAAAAGAAGTGTTCGGGAAAAAAAGGAAAAGAAAAAATATCGAACTTTTTGAAATTGTTTTACAATTATTCTCGTAAGTTAAAAGAAAAATCATCAAAACTCATCGCGAAGTTTAACAAGAGAGAACGAAAAAGAAAATAGTATGAGATAGAGAGAGAGAGATAGATAGAAGTTAGGGGAACCGAAGAAGAGTAAAAATAGATCGAAAGAAAAATACCTGCAGGAGGTTCGTTCATAATTTTATTCAGGGTGAGACCGAAAGTCACGAGAAAAGGCTATAGTTCATTCAACGAGACGTGAAATAAAAATTTCGTTGATAATCCAAAACGTGCTTGGTGGCTTTTGAACAAAAAAAAAAGTTTAAAAGAAAAAAGAAAAAAAATATTCGAAAGAAAAAGATAAAGAGAAAAATAATACAAATCATTCCCAGGAAGATTCGTTTTCGGCTTCGAGCCAAATTCGTTCAAAGATGATATCGTGATTTTTCGATGAATGATAAACCCAGATTCGTATCTTTATTTCTCTCCTCCCTGTGTTCAAATTATTGAACCTTATCCGTACGGTGAACTCCTCGTCGTGGTGTCAACGACGCGTGAATTCTTTTTTCTCACAGATATATTTTAGAAAAGAATCTTCTTCTTCTTCTTCTTCTTTTTCATATTTTTTCTTTTTTTCTGAAGGATTCGTCAAAGTTGGAAATGTTAACGAAACGATGATAATGCCGTTCAATAACACGAACTTCGGGTCAAAGTCTTTTTATTAAACTTTCTTATCTCTATTATTAGATTAGTGTTTTCAATAGATATTTTTTTAATACTCATCAATACACGTTGAATAAAATGAAGAAAGAATGATAGAAACGTTTAATCGCGAATACGCGTAATGGGAATGTAACACAAGTACGCGTATGTAAAAAAAAAAAAAAAAGAAAAAAGAACAAGAAGGCAAAGTAAATAAAAAAGGGAGATATATTATTTTCTTATCTTTAATTTGGACACCGCCGAGTAGTTGAAACGTAATGCGTCATTCGAAAGATGGGAACAAGTTGGAAAGTTTTTTTAAAAAGCCATCGCGTATTATATCTATGTGAAACGAGAAGAGTGAGTGACTCCGAGCATGGATAACGAGACTATTTAGTCCGATTGATATTACTTGGTAGGGACGTGCTGGTGGAATTAGAGAAATTAAAATGTTGCTGTGTTACTCCTCTTTGACTCTGCGGCGGTGTCTGCACGAAAGAAGGAAAGAGAGAACACGTTTATTTTTTTCTTTTTTCCATCTTGTTGTTCCTTCGAATTAAAATTCTCAACTTTGAAATGAAATTTACAAAGAATTTCATTTCATTAAAAAACAGGGAAAGATAAAAAGTGAAGAAGAAGAAGAAGAAGAAGAAGAAGAAGTAAAAATAATGAATAGAAAGGAAACAATTATAATACAAGATAAATAAATAATCGAATCGATGAGAAAACGTTTTGAAAGATATATATTTTATATAAAAAAATGTGTTTGTTTTTAATTAATAGAGAAAAAAAAAAGTAATATTAGTATGAACGCGATATGGAATGAAAGAAATACAAATGTTTCCCCCGTCACACACAATCTGATAGAAGAACAATACTCATTTCCTGTTGTTCGTATTATGAATAAAAATTAATATTCAACACACACACAAGACACAAGACACAGTTTAAAAAGCAGCCAAATAATAAACCTATCCGGATAAAGAAATAATTTGATTGCTAGATTGAACTAACAAATATATAATCATTATAATATTATGAATGAAATAAAAGAAAAAAAAAATAATGAAAAAGTATAATATTCTAAATAGGAGGGGACTCACCGAGTAAGAGGAGCTTGATGTCCTTGGCAGCTTGAAGACCATCCTCCTTGAGATTTTTCTCAATTTGCTTGCTGCGGGCCAGAGCGGCCCGCTCTTCAGCGGACATTGCGCAGCCCATTTTGCTACACGTTGCTTTCACAAACGCCACCCCCGCGCTCTTGGAGCACCCTTAGCTAAGAGAGTGCCGGGTCCGCAGAAAGCGGCCAGGCAATGGTCCCGGTTCTGGTGGTGGTGGTGGTGGTACTGGTGCTGGTGATACCAATGATGGGGGTGGTGCTGGTCGAAAGACTACAACACCCGCGACGCAACAAGGAGCACCCACGCACCCTCCACTACCGCACCCTTCGCCCTTTTCTTCCTCCTCCTCCTCCTCTCTCGTACCCCTTCTCCTCAGCCGTCCTCCTTCTTCTCCTCCTCCTTCTCGTCACCGCCACCGTCCTTTTCTCTATCACCAGCTCTAACACCACGAGCTTCGCCACCTCACCACCCTCCTCCTCCTCCTCCTCACCCCCGACCTAACTGATGATCACCACCTGGTGCTTCCCTTCCCTTCCCTTCCCTTCTCTTCTCTTTCTTCTTCTTCTTCTCCTCCTCCACGTCCTCGTCTTCTCGGTGATACCCAAGATTATCCACTACCTCCTCCTTCTTCTTCTTCTTCTCCACCTTCCTCTCCTGGTAGTATCACCACCCTTTTTTATAATCGTTCTCGCCACTCTTACTTATCTTTTCTTTACTTTTCACAATCAATTATCCCTGCAAAAGATAAACATTTTTTGTGTTTGTTGAAATTATTAATAGGAGAATATTTGATATGTTTTTTTTATATTATGGGAAGATACTATTGTTAAATGTGAAAAGGTTCTCTAAGGAATAAGGATTTTTATTTATTAGTATTTTGCCCTGATAAAATCGATTATTTATTTTTTCTCATTCATTTCTATGATTTCTTTGAATGATTATCATTACGTTCTTAATCATGAATCAGTTTTAAAGATGTTTTCTTTAATATTTTATTGAACGATTATTTCACATTTAAATGAGTAATAATAACGTAATCGGTTACGTACTTTTATCGAAATACTTAAAAATTTTGTAGGTGTGTCAATGTTTCGTAACGGTTAACTTCTGTAACGATATAAACGTGTTAACTGGATAAGATAATTCTTCGTCAAAATATTATTAGTCACAGAAAGTTGCATTACTATCATCGTAATTGTAAAAAAAACACTTTCAATATGACTTGCATTTGTTTCTAACATTTATATGTAAAAAAGAAAAATAAAAAATATACAGCAATAAGCAGATTTATTTAATAAAAAAAAACATCATTTTTTTCTGTTTATATTATATTATAACTGATTGCGTAAATAATTTGTGAAAAGGATTCATTTGTTTCCAAGTTAGTCACGTTTCGTTCAACCTGTTCACTAACGTAGTATCATTTTCAAGAGTGTATCTTTCGTCTCGTCTATCTCGGATGACTATTCCTTACAAGACAAAACGATCATGTTTCTTTAAGATTTCATTTAAAATATCCTTCCATCTTTATTTCTATCATTTTTCATACAGAATTTTATATCAAATAAGTAAATATCTTAGAGAATGAAAAATATATCAAATATTGTTCAACATCAAACATAAAAATCATAGTGTTATCATTTAACTATTAGATAAACTTGCATCAGACGAAAAACGATGACATGTTTCCGATCAAATTTCTTTCTCCCCATGTTAAAATATTATATTTGCAATATATTTTCTCACGAGAAGAATATAATTTTTATTTTGCCAAAAAAATAAATGAAATATTTGATAGAATTATTTTTCCCCCACAAGTAAAACTATAATTCATTATTATCTAACTTATTAGGATAAATAATTCTAGGATTTGCTCGATCTCGTTGGATTTTACTCTGATTAAAATTAACCGTTTAAATTGTGACCGCATTTTAGCGTTCTAACATATACACCATCTATATAAAACAACATACCGATTTTCTCGTTGTCTAGACAACCGAGAAACTAATATCAAATTTTCGTTACTAAGCTAACACGCAATTGGTCGTCACGAAGGTGCGGCTTTTATATAAAACTATGGCAATTTAGTATAAAAAAGAAAAAACGAGAAAGAATCAAAGGTGTTCTTGATACGATACAATGCATTTAGGTTTAGTTTACAGTTAACTGTTCCTTTAATAAAAGAAAGATAAGTTGAGAACAACTGGATTTATAGAGAACACAAACCCTATGAAATATTCACACTGTGTTCTCATTGAAAGATATCGCTACTTGATCGACAAGGGTTTACATTCGCCATTGCATTTCTTAGAAACGTAAAACCTTATGGATTCTATGAGTAATGCATGTTTATATAGTTTTATAGTGTTCCGATTGCATACGATAACGGTTAACAAAAAAGATACAGATAAAAGATAAAAGATATATACGCGTGTGTAATACATCATTTTTATAATAATTCAAAAGAATAGAAAAAAAAAAATAAATATAAAGTTTGTTAATATTATTTATAATATAGAAAGTATATTTTATAATATTTATTAAATAAATATTAAATTAAGATATATTATATTCACATTAATAATATTATCTAAAATAATATTTCAAAAGTAACACGAAATATTTTAGACATCTCGAATTGTAATTTTGTAATCTGAATCTTTTATTGATTAAATGGTGTAAATTTCTGTTCTGTTGGAAGGAGAAAATAATATATATATGTATGTGTGTGTATATATATGAAGGTGTTAGTATTCTACAGGTAGATGAAACCTAATAGATGCCGGCAATCGACTTTAAACACTGACACGCATCGTTAGACTCGTTCAAACGATACTCGGATCCGATTAGGCGCGTCATTTAAAATAATTTCGAGTAAACGAGCGTTAACCTCGACCCTGTCTTGCGACCATGATAAGACGATAATCATGAGAAAAAGGAAAAAGAAAAGAAAAGAAAAGAAACTGGGAATGAGTGATAAAATAAAACTAGAAATATTGATTTGTAAACATATGTATATATATGTATGTATCTTAAATCTCAGGAGTATTATCTTTCGTGACGGTACACTTCCGTTTCCTGTCCCATCATGTTCACATAATTTACACTATATGTGAAAAAGTTCGAAACACATAAATTGAATTAAATTAATTTGTATATCTCTCTTTTTATATAATATCTATTTATTTCTTTTTGTGTTTTGTTCTTTTCTTTCGATATTGGTACGAATTTTATGGGCAACTAGATAAATTAATTCTCACGTAATAAAAAAAAAGAAATGTATGTTATATATTAATATCTAATAAATCTGTAATAAAAACCGATGGGACGAAAAATATTGGATAAGTTTTAAAATAGATTGAATATAAGATAGATATTGTATTAACCGGAATGGTTCGTATCGATCTATACATTTTATATTCATAAATATTGTTAAAATATATATAGCAATGAAATTGTATTTGAAAAATCGATAAGAATGTTTTCGATAAAACCAAAATGCATTTAATTTTCATTGAAAAAAAAAAAATAAAAAAAAAAACAGAATATATAATATATGTGTGCTAGAATAAAATGATAAATGTAAGTTAAGTAAAAAGAGGCGTATAACAAAAACGAACGAAAATAAAAATAAAATAATTCGCTTTTTTTTTTGTCGTTTAGTTGAATTATCGGCTATCGAAAAAGCTAACACGGCTCCGATCCAATCCTTTGCTCTTGGATTTTTCGATGCGCAGACTCGGCGTAGGCGGATCACTGATAGAAAGAGAAGAGAAGAGAAGAGAAGAGAATAGAAAGGGAGAAAAAGAGAAAGAGAGAGATCGTGGATACGCTCGATCGATTCCTCCTCCTCCTCCTCCACCTCTTCCTCCACCTCTTCCTCCTCCTCTTGGTCGTGCTCGTCATCATCGTCATCGTCGTTGTTCTCGATCAGCTAACAATATCATTCCACACTGATTTCCTCTGACTGGATATCGACACGTCCGTCTTCTAATTATACTAATTCTAATTATAGATTGGTACGATTCGTGAAAATCTGGCAATTATCAAACACTTTTGAGTACGGTTAAAACACTCCGCGCGTTACCAAGAAAATAATATATCCAATTCGGGAAAAGATATTCGATCACACACAATGTGCAAATGGTAAATAAGTAAACACACATGCATACATACACAGATACGTGTATATATGTATGAGGAGAACATACGAACGAATGAACGAACAAGAACAATAAGAAAAAGAAAAGAAAAGAGAATATAGAAACGATCGATCATGGTCGGCCACGTCGTCTCCCTCCCCCTCCACCCACCCGCCACCACCCACCCCACCGGTAAAACGTTCAACGCAAGCTACCAAAGATGATTAAGAAAAATAATAAGATGATAAAGGATAAAAATTCATCCACCTAATTTAAATGGAAGAAGTTTAACAAGAGAAAGGATAATACTAAAAGTGTCAACTCGATTGATCATTCCCTAAGTGTTCTAAGTATTCCCCAACATATCTGTATCTCCTCTCTCGGAGGGTGTTCTAACAAGTTTCTCATCGGTGGTTGTTGTACGATCGATGACCGGGTCCCTCTACTATCCGTGGGTAGAAAAGGATTTCCCCCATTCGTAGCAAGACCGTAGAAAGAAAGAAAGAAAAAAAGAAAGAAAGAAAGAAAGATGGAAAGAGATAGAAATATAGCTGGATAGATAGAAAGAGAGGGTGCAAAACGGTACCACGTTTATAGGGGAAAATCAGTAGGGGGGAAAGGAAGGAAGGGAGGAAGAGGAAGATAAAAAGGGGGAGAAGAAGAACTCACCCGTAACACAGGAATAACAGTAGAAACAGCAACAGCAAACGTTCGTTCTTTCAAACGCCCTTTTTACGAGTCGTCCTCCACCTTTTTCTTTATTCTTCTTCTTCTTCTCCTCCTCGTTGAATCCTGCCGCGTGCATAGACTACTATTACTACTACTATTTTCTTCTTCTTCTTCACCCTTTCCTCCTCCACCTCCTCCTCCTCCTCCTCCTCCTTCACCTCCTCTTATTCAAGCAGCGCCAGTAGCAAGCAGAAGCAAAAACAGCAGCAGCAGCAGCAGTAACACCACCACCAACCACCACCATAAATCTTCCCCTCGGATCCAGCCGCTACCCCGCGAATGGACACACTCGACGATCGCGTCGTTGAACGCGTCGTCTGTCCACTTCCACCCCCTCCACCACCTCCTCCTCCTCTTTTCTCACCCTTATTTGTACTGTTCCTTTATTTGTTTTTTCTATAATAGTTCTCCTTGTTCTTATTAGGGTTAAACTCTTTATTAAAGTTTGTTACAACTAGCAGTGAAATGATATTGCTATGAGAGGTTTAGACCCCCCTCACCCTCCTACTCCTCCTCCTCCTCTTATACTCTTCTTATTTTTGAGTATAAGTGTGTCACACGACCGAACCTTTCACCACTTCCCGGCACAACAATCTTTTCTTATCTTCTTCGTGTTTGCTGTTATCCCACGTAGTTTAACACCTCCTCCACTTTTCTTATTCTTCTTTTAGCTCTCGCAAGCTAAACTTATTTGATCGATATCCTTTGAAAGGAGAGAGAGAGAGAGAAAAAGAAAGAAAGAAAGAAAGAAAGAAAGAGAAAGAGATAGATAGAAATGTGTTGGAGGGTGGCCGAGGATGCTCAACGCCACCACAAAACGTTTGCCTCCTATTTCGTGTTACCGTTATCGTTTTACTCTCAACGTACTCTCGCAGTTGTAGTCGTCGTCGTCCTCCTCCTCCTCCTCGTTCTCGTCGTCGTCGTTGTATACCACCAGATTTCCAGGAGGCGGTGCTCTCTCTTTCCTTTTCGAGAGAGAACACACGCGCGCGCGCGCGCGCACGACTTTATTCACCCGGCGCCGCGCTGCGACCAGAAAGGAGAAAAGGAGAGGAGAGAAAAGGAGAGGAGACAAGAGAAGAGGAAAATGTAAATGATTATGAACAATTATTATAATATGAACTATTTATATATGTATATATAAATATGATATTACTTATTTAGCACGCACTCCCGATTTAAGTCCGTTTTTATTACAATCGTTATATCGCGTTTATTGTTCTTCTTTGAATAATAATATTATTTTTATTATTATTAATATTTTATTCCTATATATATATTTTTTTTTCTCTCTTTCTTTCTTTCTCTCTCTCTATCTCTCGTTCTCTCTTTCTCTGGTTTTCCTTTTTCCCTATCTTTATTTTCTTGTTACCGAACAAAACTTATGAGATAAAAAAGCAAGTGTCTCAACGCGAACGATTTCACGGGGAACGAACGAGAGCGACTGTTCGTTCCTGCCAGTAAAACGCGCTGGTGGTTCTCCAGTACTGCCAGTGGTGGTGGTAATAGCAGGGTGGTGTAGTGGGGGAGGGGTCGTGCGCGCGATCAACCAAACGGGTACGACTCAGAGAAAGAGACAGAGATATAATACTATCTTGTATCTTTCTACTATATATGTGTGTATGTAGATGGAAGAAGAAGACCCTTGCTTGGGTTGCCCGGTGTGTTAACACACGAGGACAACCTCGAAAATATCTGTGTGCGAGAGAGAGAGAGAGAGATATACATATATACCTATATGTATGGATAGAAAGAGAAAGAAAAAAAGGGAGAATGTTAGAAAGAGAAAGAAAGAAATAAAGGGTGAATGAGCCCACGTAAAGAAACACTTATGACAGCGGCGAGCTGTACTCGCCTACTGTCGGGGCTCATCAATTCGATGGTGGCGCCCTCAAAAAGCCCCGCCCAATCATCGCTTCTAAACCGTGCCGCCATGGCCCCCTTCGATTCGACTCGGTTATGTTGGTCGTTCTGCTAACACCTCAGGGGTAGGGGGATAATATCGATCGATTTTCTCTTTCTCTACACCCTGGACCAGAAGAATCAGACCTGGAACGGCGGCTACCGGTATATCGAACTTTCGTTTCTACCATTCTACTCTCATCCCTTTTAGAGTCGGCTCGATCCTGCAACGCCATCTTTCATTTCGTTTACTCATCATCCCTTTTTACATTCTTATTTTACCATACTTTTTTCTATTATATTTCTCTTATAGCTATTTCGTTATATATATTTTTCTTCTATTTTATTTTTTGTGTTATTTAAATTAATCAGATTTAAAAATAGGACGTAGGGTAGGGGGGGTGAGTTTCTATCGTTTGCCTACAATTTAAATTAAATTTTCATTTGTATATTTGGGTTGATCAATTAATAATGATTACTATGTATTTAAGTTCTGATAGATTAATTTTATCAGGCTGCTTACTACTGTAGCTTTTGAAATTGGATGCTTTTTTTAAAATATACAGGATTTAATCCTATGAAATTTTTTCTTTGATATTTCACATCGAATTTATGGTTTACAGTTATAAAAATCAGTTAGAAAATTTACCAATGTCTGGTAAAAAATATTCTACTTAATTCTTTGAATCTTCTCGAGGGAACACAAAAAAAATTGGTATAGAACCGCAACAGCAGAAAAAAATGAATAAGAGTCTAGTTGCTCACTAATTGCTTAATCAAAATTCATATAATTGTTCACTTTATTAATTAATTATTTGATTAGTTATTAATGATTGAAAAATCGAAAATGTTTTTACTCATTTCTAAGCAAAACAATGAAGTCTTCTATTGTTTTTTTGTTTTCAATCAATTGGTAACTTTTTGTTCATCCATTTTCTTCCGGTGTTTCTAGCAACAATATGATATCGGTCTTTTTTTAATCTAGTAAATTTTTTTCCTGTACCAGTTCCCGGACAATCGTTCTTAACAAGTAGACGCCATAAATTAAGAATTAAAACAAAATATCTATATTAGATTTCTAATTGTTGTTTGTTTCTAAATGTATATAGAATTTAAATACACATGCACTTTGTGTACACTATTTACTATTAAAAGTTACTAGGAAATAAGAAAGTAAAATATATTGAAATTCTAGTAACATGGCTAAGCCGATATCGGTAATAGTAGTGTTCTACCTTTATCTTACCGACCGAGATCTGATGGTAACTTACTTATTTCACAAGTTATTGATAATTAAAAAATTTCTAATTTTAACCCAAAACGCGATTTAAGACAGCATAAAAAACCTACGGCAGTAAGAAACTAATATGTGCAACTTATTGCTCACTAAAAGCTCATTGTTAAACAACAATTTGAAATCTAATATAGATATTTTGTTTTAATTATTAATTATAAAGGAGTTTACTCGTTAAAAACGATTGTCTTAACTATTTTTATATACGGCTGATAATTTTAAAACATTTAGATAGTAAAGTACTACTTTTATATACGGTAACTGTTTAATAACAGACTTTGCATCGTTGAATCATTTTTTTCTACTTAAGTAAACAAGGAACCGTAAAAATGCGCGAGAGCTATTGGGAAAACTATAATTGTATGAAAAGCTTTCTCGAATGAAGTGAAATAACGAGAGACTCTCTTTAATGGTTTCTCATATAACTGAAGGTAAACTCGTTACGTTTATCAAGGCAATAACATCGATGCAATTCAATGGTCTTTTCAATTTTGACGAATGGTAGATCGTGAGTTAATTAAATAATTACTAAATTGAAATTTAATTCGGATGGACAATTAATTCTTGTTTAAAAGCATGCATATTCATATAGGTTCGTATTCCACAAGCTTACCCTTGATTTAATATTTTCCCTGGTGTTTTATTTTCTTTTTCTTTCTTCTTTTCAAGTATTACATTTATTTTTGTAATAAATCTGATGTTTACCAGCGATAAGAATTAAACGTGATGTTAGTTTATAGAAGCTGTTCGTATGGGATCAGCTCGTTCCTCCTATTCCTCCTATCTTCAAATATGTAAATACGTTCAATCCTTAGGTGCTTTTACCTGTTTTTGAAACACGATAGGGAATGTTTTAATACGTGATATCTCTTGAGCCTTCGCATTTGTAAGTTATTGTTCAGAAGATTAGTGTCTTGGATATTCCGATGGGTTTCTATTCTGCTTAGGTATTTTCTACTTAAATTTCGCGATCCTCTCTTATTACACTATTTACATTTTGATATTCTGACGAATTATTTTGTTAGCAACACGTGTTACGTGCATACGATCATTCTTTTTTAAATATACATTTTTTCTATTATTTCTCTATTTATTTAATCAGTATTTTTATATTATTCAAAATATAAAATCTAATCTTATACCTAATATTTTCTACATTATTATCGTTTGTAATTTGTTTCAGAGAGAAATTATTATTCCGATAGTTTCTGCAATAAACGGTGTAACGCAGATAACATATATAACGCATATTATAATTTTTTTAATATAAATATTCATTATCGATTGAAAATATCGATTACAAATGTCTACTAATACTGACCCGATAAACACGAAGCTATTTTTGTATTCGAGTTACTAGCAGAAGCTCAAAGTTTTATTCCGGAGTTTCATATCGATTTAATAATTACTATGTAAATAAATAAAATGAATATTTCGTAATATTGCTAGTTGAAATATATATATATTTTTCCGATTCCAAATGAAATATGTCATGTAAAAATATTCGAATGAAATGATCAAGGAATTTGTTCCCAATGTGGAAATATATCGCATTCAATTAAATTAAAGCAGAGACCGAGTCAATAAGTTTTTATTTTCTTTGATCGTTTCTTTTATTCTTTTTTTTTTTTTTTATCTTATTTATTGAAAACTTAAAAGACCCGTCCGACGAGTCCACTCGAATTCGTATCAATTTGTACGACGTTTGATCAATTAAATTTGAAAATAATACCAACAACGAATACAGTTTAAGATTCAGTAAGTAACCCTTATTCTCTTTGATTCTTCCATACGATTAATTCGCGTAATCAAAGAAATTGAACAGTGTTATAAAAGAATTGTAATAAACGTACATTCGAATTAAATAGAAAGAAACCTAATGAATAAAAGGGAGAAGGATTGAAGATTTGTTTAAGAGTTAATCATCTTTTAAGTTACGCTTACGAAATCTCTTCGAGAAGGGTTTACCATTGGATTAATGTTATTTTCCATGTGCGAAAGTTGATTAACCGTACGAATAAAAGTTAAGGAAAGATTAAAACGATATAATTTCTTAATCAAACGTTTTTATACATTTATATGTCTGTCAAATATAACATTCGAATAATATTTAAACGCATCAACAGACACCTGAATTCTAATTAAATCAAAGTTAACTCGATAATTCGTTCGAGCCGACAGTACAACCACCTCGTAATTGAGATAACTTCGTTAATTGAGTTTTAAGTTTAATGCACGTTAGAGTAATCGTCCTTTGGATAGGCAAAGACCAAAGTAGACTTGTTAATTTTACTTGATAGTTTTCCATTACTGATTTCAAGCCTCTATGATTTCATTCCAAATCTTCTAGTTTCCAAATAAATACAACTTACTTCCTTCCCCCTTACGATTAAATCTTAACACTTCTCTTATAAGTTTAATTATAATAAATTTTATACATAATATATGAATTTGTTAAACTTTTTAACGCGTACACACACACGCAGAAATATAATTATTTTTCAAATGTAACGCGATTAAAAGAATTTGTTTAACTAATTTCATTGCATAATAATAAAAATAATAATAATGTAATTATTGTGAACGTTAAGAAAACTTATTAATGTTAATGTATAATTTTATTTATGTCATTTAATTAGATACACCTTCGTGACAGTGCGAGATGCTGTAACGAAAACTGTTAGACAAATTTCACCAATTATGTCTACCTTATATTAACGCGAAAATTGATATTAATGCTTTGCCGTTGTTGTTCTTAATGAATTTGCTCGTGTTTCCAAATAAATTACTTAGTTTACGTGTTCCTAGTATTTAGGAGAGGTATCTTGTTTTTGATTATTAAATTTGTCCTTGTTCCACATACTTTCACGTGCATAATATTTCCCATAAGTTTGTCTTATTTCTCTTTAATCATTTTTAATTAACATTATTTTAAATTATTACATTTAAAAAAGAAAAAAAAGGATCGCGCATTTTAGCGCTAGAATTATAGAAGATATTTAACATTTATCTTACATTGATGTTATATTTTAAAACGATTACAAAAAAAAAAAATTCAAGAGAATAAAGAGAGACTGGAAGTTTGACAAAATTTTAGATTGCATTGTGTTATCTCGCAACATGTTTATAAACGTTATCATTTAAAATAATATTAATTTTTAATCTGACATAGAAAAACAAAAAAAAATAAAAAAAGAAAGAAAGAGAAAACAAATTCCATGCCATAACGTGTAGGATTGTATAATATATTAAACATCGTATAACAACGAGATACTAATCGAATGGAATAAAAAAAGCTTATATACACGTAATAATCGTACGTAATACATAAAAGATACGAATCTAAACGCTTTGATATCACGGTTGTCACTTATCTCGATTACTTAAATAAATGACTTTAATATTCATGGATTAAAACAAAGTTTGAATTATAAACGAGTAGACAAGTGAAAGGAACAGGAGGCAGGGGGAGGGGTTGGAGTTGGTCAGTGTTTAATTAAATAAAATGCGACAAGGGAAAAAGTGCGAGATAGATAGATAGATAGATAGATAGAAATAAAGAGTATTTCACTCCAAGCAAGTTTAGTAGCTGCAAAGAAAAGAAAAGAAAAGAAAAGAAAAGAAAAGAAAAGAAAAAGGAAAAGAAAAGAAACAACAAAAACAAGAGAAAAGGAATTGCACCGACTGTTGTGAACGTAATCAAGGTGCGAACGAGATTGGCACGATATCCTGGCCGTGTGCACTCGTGTGCATCCCAGCGAAATAGGAGAAAAGGAAAGGGAGAAGAAAGAGGTGGGAATTAAGGAAAAGAGAAAAGAAAAAAAAAAGAAAAAACGATAGGAGGTAGAAAGAGAAAGAAAGCGTGGGGCAGGTGGGCGTGTTGGTAGCCATAGAGAGAGAGAGAGAGAGAGAGGTTCTCGAGTAGAGTACTTGACCCTACTCGTCGTGGTCGGTGGTGGTGGTGGAGTGGGGTTGGGAGGTGATGGAATGAGTTAGAACGCATTGTAGACTATTTATTAAAAGATTTTTGTAATTGGGAAACGAGATCTTCTTATTCGAATAATATAAGAAAGTTTTGAGCGACCATGTATCGAAGGGGGGGGGGAAGAGAAGAAGAAGAAATGAGAAGCATAAAAAAAGGTTGGTAGGAAGGGTTGGTAAGAGTAGTAGCTTGTAAAAGGTTGGGAGAGGAGGTCAGGGCTGAAACAGGGCGACAGGTTAATAATAAATTTCTGCGGGTCCAAGTGCGGCATAGTAGTCAGAGCCCGAGTTTTTCTGGGGTTTGTGGCGGGGTTTTCAGCTAGTGTACTACGATTGGATAGGAAGGAAGGAAGAAAGGAAGGAAGAAAGAAAGAAAGAAAGAAAAAATGAAGGAAGGAGGAAATAGGGGAGGATTGCGTAGAACAGGATGCATCGTTACATGGTAGAATAACGTAGGGAGTTAGCAGAGGGGTTTGCGAGGGGATTTAGCTATGGTGTGTGGTCTTCTTGGTGGATATTGGAAGCTTTAGCTTCGCCATAGGAATATTAGTAGTAGTAGTAGTAGTAGTAGTAGTAGTAATAGTAATAGTAGTAATAGTAGTAGTAGTAGGGTCAACTTTTTTCTCCTCCCTTTGTATGATTCTCTCGGTGTAGGGGGTGTTCAAAGAGGGGTGTTCAAAGAGGGGCGCACCGTGGTGCCTTTCGTGACGAGTTTGCGCACAAGTGGGTCGTTGGGTAGATAGAATGGGGAGGGTGGTGGTTTCGGGGTTGATTCACGGGCAACGGAGGTGGACGTGAGGAACTAAAGAAAGAGGTGGAGGAGGTGGAGGAGGATTCCCTCCTTTTTGCTTATGGTCTTGTTCGCGCGCGTCAGCCTCGTCGCGGCATTCGATCCCGTAACATCGTTGCTCCCGACCATGAGACAGTCGGGTGCCGGTCACGGGACGTCGCCTCCAACGTCACCAACGACGTCCCCGTCGTCGTCGTCGTCGTCGTCGCTGCCAGCGTCGTCGTCGTCGTCGTCAGCGTCGTCAGCGTCGTCGTTCTTGTTTTCGTTGTTTTCGTTGTATTCGTTGTTTTCGTTGTCATCCTCATCCTCGTGGCCGTGGCTTTCGTCGTCGTCGTCGTCGTCGTCGTCGTCGTTGTGTCACGAGCCTTTCGTTTTTCATCTTAAATCTACCAACTCGTAAAGTCAAACAACAGGTTCTCAAAAACAACACACCTCCATCCCTCCTTTTTCCTCCCTCTCACCCAGCCCTTTTTTTAATTTCATCCTAATTCTTATTTTTTGTCCTTTTCTTTATTCCTATCTTCCTTTGTTTGTTTGCCTCTTTTTCTTCTTTTCCTTTCTTTCTTTTTTTTTTGTTTTCTTTCTCCCCCCTCCCTCTGTCCTAATCTTATTACCTCTTCTTATCCTCTCTTAAACAACCCTTTTTCGAAAGAATCTACTTCTACTTTCCCTTTCTCATCCTCTTCCTCTTCCTCTTCTTCTTTTTTTTCTTCGACGATTATCCAAAAAGGAAAACAACACGCACGCCGGGGAAACAGGATAGACATTAAAGAGAGCTAGGAGGAGTGCTAGAAGGAGAGAGAAAGAAAGACGAGTCGCACCAGGTATCGTAATTCCAACTCTCTTTCTTTCTTTCTTTCTTTCTTTCTTTACTTTTTCATATTTTTTTATAATCTTTTTTTGTGTTTTTTTTTTTATTTCCATATCATTTTCGTATTGTTTTTCTTCTATCCATTTCTCTATATCTAAATCTTTATCTTCCTTCTGCAAAGATTTAACGAAAGTGGAAAGAAAATTGGCCGATTATCGGATATATATCATCTTTCTCTCTTTCTCTTCCACTTTCTCTCATTTTCTATCTTTCTTACTTGAGAGAGAACGTTTTCACCCCTGTATAAGGGGATGACCCTTAGTCTCAACGTACTTTCCATTTTCTTCTATAGCCACCAACTCGACATTTTCTTTCCCTTACGAACGAAAGATAGAAAGATAGATCAAAAAAAAAAGAAAAAGAAAAAATAAAAAGAGAGAGAGAGAGAGAGAGAGAGAGAGAGAGAAAGGAAAGAGAAGGAATGAAAGGGTTGAGGGAAAAGTCAAGACTCGAAATTGTCAAGCTTCGTCAATTCTCCCTCGCGAATCAAGAGGGAAAAATGGTTGTTTTTTTTTCTATAATATAATATATAAAATGTGAAAGAAAAAATATAAGAAAAAACGAAACATTGTCCAACTTTGCTTTTTTCTCTTTTGTGCTTTTCTTTTTTTTTTTTTTTTTTTTTTGTTTTTTTTTTTTTTTTTTTTTTGTTTGGTTCTCTTTTCTTTTTGTGTTCTCATCTACGAATATATTTTAAAAATTCATACTTGTTTTTTTTTTTTTATTGAGGTGAGAAAAACCTTAGCACGAACAGCTTGGTTATTTAATTTTTGATGATCCTTTTCCAAGGTGTCCTCGAGTCGTCGTCGTACGTTCCTTTCATTTCACGACCCTTGAAATTTTTATTATCGACTTCTAAGAACACGAAATATTAAGACTCTCAATGTTCTTTTTTTTGTTAATGTTTTAAAATAAAAAGAGAAAGAGAGACGAAACCAGAGAAAGAAAATTCATATAGCCTCAGGGTATATAATTTCATCATACGTATCTGTCTCTCGTATTTGATGGTGTTTTTTCTCATTATACATAATAATATAATGTATTATCATCATAATCATCATCATTATTATTATTATTAT